CTCTGTCCCCAAAAAGGTGAGTGCAGGTGGGAACTGACACAAGGACAACTCATCATCCCCAACATCCTCAGCTGTGGAAAGGGAGTTGAGGTGCCCAAACGTGACAGCACAGAGCTGGAGAAGGGAAGGAACCCTCCCTGTAAACACAAAGGAGCAAAGGGAAATATAAATTACAGGACAGAGAGCAAATGTGAGGGAAAAAAATGGGTGAAACGGGCTGAAAAACAGAACCCAAGCATCAGTACTGTGTTATTTGGGTTTAGAACCCCAGTGAGAGCAGTGATCCCCCACAGCACCACCTTTAAGTGCTCAGAAAAGCAGCAGCAGAAATGTGATTTTTATAAAAATACATACAGGAGGATAAGATTGTAAAACCAATCATAGTCACTACATACAACTCTATCCCTCCCCCAAACGCTTCATCGCCCCCCCAAAAAATAGGACTGCATTTATCTTCAGGAAATCAGCACAAAAGCATGTTTTCTAACAAATACATTGCATTTTTTTCTGCTTGAAAAGAAGAGCAGAGCAGCCCTGCTAAATGGGGGTTGGTTTCTTCCACGAGTTGTAAAATCCAGCCCCAGGGATAGAAGTTACCTTCGCTGTAAAACAATCCACCAACTGGATTTCACAATCTCTGTCGTCTTTCTCTCCCCACAGCAATATTTTTACAGTGTTTGCCCTCAAACCAGTTTTTCATCAGCCGACATGTGTAATTACCACCAGACAGGTTTTGGATAACCCATCCCCTGGTGCAGTTTTTCCTCCCACCCTCATGCTGCACAGCCGCTAACCTACCCTATCTGGCCTCTTCCAGACTTGCTTTGAAAGCTGAATTTGACCTCTTCTGGACCTCAACATTTTAAATTATTAAAAAAAAGCCAGTTTAAAATTTTTTTCTGAGCTTGAAGTGTGCTAATCCGTGGAATTGTTCAAGGTCAGGTTGAATGGGGCTTGGAGCAACCTGGTCTAGTGGAGCTGTCCCTGCCCGTGGCAGGAGGGTGGAATATGATGAACTTTAAGGTCCCTTCAAACTTAAACCATTCCAGTAATCTATGATTTTATGATCAAGGCAGGGAGTAGTAAATGCTCCTCAGGATTTATTTTGGGTTTTACCACACGGAAAAAGAAAGTGCCAGTGACAGATAATTTGGCTGCGGCTGACAGAGGGGACCTGGGGAACCCCCAGCTCAGCTGATACCTGACCATGGCACACCAGGTTGATGCTGCTCTCAACTCACCTGTGCATGGCAGCCTGGCTCCAGCTCCTGCACGTCTGATGCCAGAGTGTAGGACTCTATGCCAAAAAAGCCAAGGCTCCTCCAGAGCTCACGATTATTATTTTTAAAGGTAAGAGGGCACAGCTTGTTCCCCACCTCCACCCTCAGGACAACAGCCAGAAGGAAATTCTCCTTGGTGCGTGCACGAAGCAAGAGCAGACAGGATTTGTCCCTTGGACTGGTAAACCTGGGGCATCCACCTATATCTTCAGGCACCCTCCAATTAAAACTCAGGCTTGGTGCTGCTGGTAGAAGTGTGGAAATGGTCTCCATAATCACCCATTTGGACTTTGCACTGGTCCTTGATGCCACGGAACCTCATGGACCATTTTATTGACCTGCCATGGCAAGCGGATGGAAGTAGATGATCTTTAAGGTCCCTTCCAACTCAAATCCCATTCTGGGATTCCATGATTCTATAACCTCTCACACTCATGCAGACCCTCACAGCAGCCCAGTTCCTTGGACAACTGTATCCACCACACCTCCACCAGTTGCAAAGGCAGGGATCTGCCACAAGACCCGGTTTCTTGTCACAGCTCTGTCACCGATGACTGACGTGGGGTCATCAGCAGCATCAGCAGGGTCTGTCTGCCCCACCCCACAACTTCACAGAATTACAGAATCATTTAAGTTGGAAAAGCCTCCCAAGACCATGAAGTCCAGCCTGTGTCTGA